TTATCCATATCCAATATAAATAGCCGACTCGGGCGGAAGAGGAAGTAACCTCCTGGAGGGACGACGAGGTGGCACCGAGCACCATCAGCTCGGCTCTAACGCGCACCGCTGCGGTTTTTTTTTCTTTTCTTGTTATTGTACCCACACTGTTTAATTAGTTTAATTTGATCTACTTTTTCTTTGAAATATACATGTATGTATAACTGAGGTGTAAGTTGTTTTCCTCTAAAGAGTCCCATAGGTTTCCCACACGCACACACTTCTATTCTCATACAAGGCGCCCTGAGGTAATCTCTTGAATCTCTCCACTGGGTCAGCCGGTGAGTAGTCCGCCAGAGAGGAAAAGCGGCTACAACACATAATAGTTTTATGCCGGTTGCCTGACTGACTGAGCATTCTGACGAACCATTGAACTGACGAACTATTCGTCAGTATATAATACGGTTTGCTTTACAAGCAGTTTATTCAGACATTAATGTAGCAAGGAATAAGTTACATTGAAAAGTGAGTCAATTTATATCCATCGATTTGCATAGCAAATGTGGCAGATGGAAAGAAGATATACGATGGTCTTAAGCAATCAGCAAAGAGGCTATAACTTCTGCAAAATTTACAATTGAGTAAGAAACTGCTGCTTGTGCATTAAATAAATATAGTTAGTAAAAATATACTTTCTGTGAAATGGGTAAGAATTGTAATAAATATTAGAAAACTGCTACATATTGATTTATTAAGATTTTATTAAACCTGCAATCTTAACAAGTTTATTACTTTACTTTTGTACTAAGGACTTGAAATTTGATATGTTAGTACAACTCCGATGAAAATGCATTTTGATGATAAATATGGCCTTTGTTCGTTTTGCAATTGACTCTACACGAGATTAAAACACAACATTCATATAGGAATTTAACTATGATAAACTGTTACCTTTACGATATGGCATATACGGGCAAGCTCAACCGAAGTGAAATCTTCCTTTTTAGTTCAATAAAACTTAAATTATGTTATATTATTTAACCACACCCGATATGCGACAGGCTATGATAGAATGAGATGGAGACACCTAGTAGAAGCATCCACTAAGGAGTCACATATCAGCACAGGCATTCAGTAATTGAAGAATGCGACTAAGAAGAATCAGCAAGCGATGTCTGATTTTCTTTCATACCTAGCGCATTTGTTTTATTTTGTGGTTTATTACTGTTCTATGATATTAAATTGAATTGTTTCGCTTCTTTTGTCAGACATTCTGCACTTGTTAACTTTAAACTAATTATACTAAGAAATCAATTAATAGTATTCGAGTTGCCTACAATAACATCTTTAGGCAACTTTGGGACTACCACACTACTGTAACGCTTCCGGTATGTTCTCCGAGGCGCGAGTTAACTCCTTTCTAGTCAAGTAGAGAAACCGTATAGTACAATTCATATCCAAAGTTGACCGGTGTAAGAATACCATTGTAAGAAGTCTGTCAGAAAGAATAATTACGTCATGTATGCACAAGTACTGGATTAAAACGGCAGCATAATTCTTTCTATTTTTTTAGTGATGATTTGTATTTTTGGTTTGTAGGTTATGTTACTTCCATTGTTTTTTTATGTACCATATGAATCTTGTATTCGCAATAAAGTTTTATTATTATTATTGTTGTGATATACAGTTCTTATTACTTTGAATACAGAGATTATGTTGTCTTTAAAATTAATCTTTCTATAAATTATTTAGAAATAATCTAAACATTTGCTGAATAATTTCATTTATTTTTAAATTTTGTAACTACACGCTGGGTTAGCAACAATACCGTGTAATCCAATTTTTCGTAGAAGAAACTTCAATTGCGTAAGATTGATAACGGCGATCTATTTTCTTTCAGAAAAACTTTGACAACAATTAGTTATTATTTTATTTCTGTGTTTTCCTACATATTTGTGGTAAACATTTTTCCCCTGAACGAGCAAATAACAATTGATACAAAAATACTTATTATTTTTCTAAGTTAAAATCAAACTTTTTTGGAACAAGTGATTAATAACTTTTATTTATTGTTTTAGTACAAGGATAGAAAATTGTTTTTGTTCAAAATATTTGTATTACATTGAGAAGTCTCAAAACAGTTTATATAAATAAGATGATTTTTTCTCAACACGCTGCAATCAAAATACATACCTATAATTTCGTAAATACCACATCTGTGAAATTACAATTTCAAAATGTTAGGAAGATTTTTGAGCTATAAAATCCTTTTAAAATACAAACATTTAACAAAAATATGTGAATATCCGGCTTGACAACATTGGCGAAATTGGCTGTCGAAGCCATCAGATTTTGATTGTTTATATTATTTTGGACCGAGTTTAATTACTGGAACTATTATTGTGCAGCTTTCAGTACCATGACAGGTCAGCACGTATATTGAAGCTTGATGTTGCGAGTTTTCGAATAATTTTTGAATTAGTGACGAATATTGGTTTAAAAGCTTAGATTTCGGCACTTGATATTTTAAATTTGCCTCGTTTCGCGCTCTTCTATCTATAATTGATTTATAGATAGAGGTTAGTCAGAGAATAAACTGGTCGGATTTCCTCAAAACAGCCCACAAATAGGTAAAAGATTTATAAGAAATTTATCACTGGTCCTTTACGCTTTTTAACACCTACATACATAATGCCATCATCATCATCGAATCGTATAACATTAAACTCTTCCTATATCCAATTGACAATGTTGTTTTAATTATCACTGTGTGAGCGTGTTGTAACAAAGTGACATTTAAACATAAAAATAATAAATTATAAAGTAAATTATCAGTGTATAAATTATTGTAACCTTTAACATGAACGAGCCCTATTAATTTCCAACACAAATAAAATAAGAATCCGTAAAAATAACTAATCAAATAATAGAAGGGTATACGTTCATATCTTTTGTGATATCTCTTTATATGAAACGACATGACATTCATGACAATGTATATAATGTTATATGAAAATAATTTCTGATTTAATAATAAGATTCTGCGGCATGTTACATGTAACAAATGGTGAAAACGATTTACTTTTTATGTGGTATTGCTTGTTTTAGGTTTTATTCTCACTAACCGTAACTACATGATAACGTTTTATTTTTCAGATCTTACAAAGTTTGAAACAGTCTTAGCTTAAGTTAATTAGAAATAGATAACTCATCTACTGTAATACTTAAGTTGTGAGGTAAAATGTATAATTTTTAAAAACACGTACTCTTGGCTAAGTGGTAAGTGAGTAGTAATAACCCATTACAAAGTTAAGCAATCCTAGCCAGATCAGTCTATGGGTGGGTAACCATTCTTAACACATTGAGACCAGCGAGCACGTTTGCACGTCAAGCCGTCGGTCCCAGTTGCCCTACGAACATCTGTGGCGATGGTTACGGGTAGTTGGAGCTGACAAAGTTCGACAAGTTTTTCTACAGAACTTCTTCACTTGAGTTATGAAGGTCTGATGGCAGTCGCTCCTCGTAAAAAAAGTTGAACCGTATCATAGTAGGATTAAAGCCGACTGCAACCTAGTTTGGGAAAAAGGCACAGAGAAACATACATACTAGTAAATATTACTTTAAATATCATTGCTAATGTTATCATAGGTAAGTAGTAGTGATAACTCATGAAAGAACTGTGAGTATAATAAAATAATTTAAGGTTCTCAGAGACCGTTGTCAGCGTAGACGATCCTGTGACAGACCTGACCTGGACTCAAGCGCAATGTTATGTTAACAATTTGCAATTTCTATTTCAGAACATTTTACTAAGTAGTAATGGAGGTAGATTAAATAATATCTATTAGTCCGAATTCACTATGAATATAATCAGTCGTCAATATTGTTTTACAATATTAGCGATTGACTTGACGATTAACAAGAAAAAAAGAAAACTCATCGCTTTGTAATTTTATTCCACAACGTTAATATTTATTCAAGCAAAAGGTCACAGTACTGTCAGCTAGCTTGTTTAGCATAACATGATTAACAGCATACACTATCTAAATTAATTCAAGTTTAAAACCTAGACGAAATTAGAATATTCAGTGAATATCCAGAGAGGAATCTGTAATGTACGTGACAAGTAATGTTTGCTTTCACATTATGCTAAAGGGTTTGTAGACAGACTCTTTGATTTATACGATGCTCGTAAAATGATTAATACATATTATGTTACATATATTATACGTACTTGTAATTTTTCACTTTGAGACTAATACTAGGTCAAAGGTATTTTCTAGTAATGTCATGTGCACTCGTTTAGTCAAAGTCTTTTATTATAATCCTCTATCGGCCCATTTCTCAAGCTATGTAGTTTAGATTGGTTGGTTTCTTTAAGGATAGACTCTAGACTGACGCCAACCCTCTTTGAAAATAATCGTTTTTAGACGGGACAAAGAAAGAAAGTAAATTAGAGTTAGAAAAATGAATAGATTCTTAACCCTATTCGATTTACTTATCGGGGAAGAAATAGCGCATGTCTCGGTTAAGAAAGAAGACGGTATCTTTACGATGAAAGTATAGGTATCAATTAGTGCCTCAGTTAGAAATTCAATGTCTTAATATAGCAGGTATATATTATCCCATTAAGAACATTATTATTAGTTTATTTAGTTATATTTCCTATAATAAATGGTAATATTATTAAAAGGGTATTTGTAAAGGCTGCATTAAGCGGCACATTATGCGGTTGGATAAGGCTGAGCCAGACTGGCTACTTCCAAAAGCACTATTAGCAGTCTGAGCAATCTGCAAGGCACACGTAGTGAGATCTCTATTTGCACCAATTGAGATAATATACGCAAAGTGTAAAGATAAAGCGTAAGTTCACGGTATTTTACTATATCAATGGAACTGGAATTATTTCATAATTAGTAAAATACCATTAAATTGACAGTGACAGTTGTATAATTTCTTACAGTCATACATTGTCCAGTCTTAGTATATATTTATACTATAGTGATTATTTCACTTGACACTTAACAATCTTCAATTCTGATGCATGTTCCCCTGAAATCAGACAGTACATATCCTTCCATACATTTACACCCATCTTCGTTGGTCTCTGATGGTTCATGAATGCAATTGGGGGGATCTGGAGAAAAGCACGTGCGTTGACATTCATCAGGCACTGAGCAAAGTGGAGCTGAAATAATTAAAAAAGAGTTAGGGTTTATCTAACACCAAAGTGCACTAGCGTTTCTGGCAAGTATAATTATATGGGTACAATAGGCGGTCTTATTACTGAACGAGAAATATTTGAGAGAATCTTCCATTTAGTCTAAGTAGTTGGGTAAGCTATTAAAATAGAAGATGAAAGTAGAACAAATCAGAGTGTCACTAGTATTCGAACGCATCCTAAGTCATTATTACAACTAAATTAATGTATAGAAAGAAGAAATTTGTTTTTTTTTTACACAATAAACGCTTCCTTAATATTTGATGGTTCTGTTACTCAAAATGTCTGTTCAATGTCTGTCTGTCTGTCAAGACCCTTTTTTGCAGAAACGCGTGTCTATCTGACGTAATTGGCTGACGTAAAAAAAGTGAGGACTTTTTAAGCTTTATATTTTTACGAATTTTTTTAAACTCTTCACAGATAAATAAAAAGTTGTACGCACTTACAATCATGACATGAAAGAAAAAAAATGAAAAAAGTGAATTTGTTAAAATAACCAAATTTTTGCTATTAATAATTTGATTTTTGCGGTGAAAATGGACGCAAAGCTCGTTTCGCAAGTTTGCCTTTCGAAAAAACGGTCGAGAGGAACATACTATTTACTTCTAAGTTTATACGAAACCCCCATTTCTTGAATCAGTCGCATTTATTTATTGTATATAAAAATGTTTTCAGTAATTTAAAAGATAAACGTTATTAAATACTTACGACATTCTGACGCAGGGACACAAATACCTGAAGCATTTCTGAAAGTATCCCTCTCGCATACGCATTTAGGTTGACAATTCAACACAAACGTATAACAAGGTGCATCTTGATATTCTCTATCTGCACAATAACCTGAGAAACAATCTGACGGACACCCGGCCCATACTTCATTCGGTCTAGTGCAGTTGACTGGTGCTGGAAGAAAGATAAATTATAATATCAATTGTTAGTGCCAGGCTTTAATTGCTTACACACACATACTTCGAAAGGTCTGAACTCAAAAAGCTTATATTTGTATTTTATAATTCTTTAACACATATAATGTGGGTTTCGATGCAGTTCAGTGACATACACACATGTCACTGTATTTTTTATTTCTTCAAATATTACTGTTATTTTTGGAAGGTTTTATCTAATTTCTTTATCACAAAAGATGATCCTACATTTGTACAGGATATCTGCCTGGTTCACTAGTAACATAAATAACTCTATCTGATTTCATTTAAGTCAATGTAAGATAAACATCTAACTTGACACAAACCCCTATGAAAAATTCTCGATAAAAGATCTGGGAGGATTTATGAGGAAAAATAATAATTAAATCTCGAGCTATTAGATACTCAAAATACGACACTTACGACATTCAGAAGCTACTACACATCTGTCATCTTCATAACTTAATTTTCTGTGATTTAATTTACATACACAGCCCGATAAGCAGGTAGGCCACGGGTCACAAACAATGTCGTACGTATTTTCATCCACTGGACAATAGTCTTGTGGACAGTTATACTTGCACTGACGGAATTCGGAATTTTCGGGACATGGATTGCCTCCTATAAAAGAAAGGTAAAAAAATGAGAATAATTGACTTACGTTATATACCACACTGTTACTCTTATGATACCTATATAATAAGTCACCCCAATAAAAAAAATATTTGCCTGTTTTCTTTCCTGATGCAAAATGTGTGTTAAAATTACTAAATATTTTACTAAGTCAAAACCCATAATATTGAAAGCATTTCAAACCTTCAGAATCAGTTCTTCTGATCTTGACAAATTTCATGTTTTAGATAGTTACAAAATAAAATAACTAGATAGTACTTAAAATTTATAACAGTCTTACCAGGGCACTCGTGAGGCAAAATACATTTGCCTCCTATTTTTGAAAATAAGTAACCAGGTTTACATTCGCATCCAATTGGTTCACATGCCCTTCTGCAGGGTGTGGCGTTTGGTGAATCACATGTTGAAGGACATGGCAGAGGACAGCGTTTTGCTATCGCGTTAGGGTCACCATTGCAAGTTACGTTACCTGAAATATTTAGTCACATACATTTCATATAGTAGGCCAAAACCTCCTTTCTAAAGAGAGGCCTATGTCCAGCAGTGGACTATTAAAGGCTGTTGATGTGATTTCATATATACTCGTGCTTTTCATACTTCGGAGTAGAATAGAATAGAACAAACTTTATTGTACAGCAATATTTGTTATTTCTTATAAAAGTCCATCAAATTAATGTCAATGTACAAATTTTACTAAAATACTAAAATACTTTAGCGCTAAAAAGCAATCTCCTACAGGCAATCTGGGATTGACAAAATAACTTTAAATAGACGAATTTATGTGAAAATCTACACGTTACATTTTTTTTCTACAAATTAATTTTCAAAGTTTAATTAATAGTTAAAGGATTTAAGTTTTGTTGTTATTATACAGCCTAATTTTACCACTGTTTCTAAGAAACTACTATGTATCTCCTGATCAAATACAACCTGGAATTCTCTATTCAAACAAACCGCACTTGATCTGAATCGATATATTAGTGTAATTAAAATCTTATCATTTCTTGAGCGCTACTCCTCTAAATATTGTGCATTGTAAGTAAATCAGTTTTCATTTTATTCTACAAATTCAAAAAACAAATATTTTTTTGACCAAAAGCAACGTTTATATCAATTAGCAAACTCCGTATTGGCACTTGACAAGGCTTGTGACTTTTTCTATGCCCATGACATAACTAACATCTTTGCGGGAAACGTTTTTGAGACGATGAAAAATAATTCGTACAAAGAGTAGAACGTATTTTTGAAATCAGGCTATAAAACCGTTTTACAAATTGGATGAATGTATTGCTTTCAATTACTTTGAAAGAAATAAAATGATGATGAAAAATAATTGAACCTTTTTCGTTTTAATGAGAAATTTCTTGTACGAGGTACTTTTTGATAAGAATAGTAAACATCATAAGAGGCATCTAAATATGTAAATAACAGATGCCTTTTTGTCCAATTAATTTGAATGTATATTGAAAATGTTCCTAACTCGACATATTTAGGTACGACATACGATATATTTAGGGACTGATCCTACATTATTATACGATGAAATTAATCTTAGCATAAAAGACCTAACGAAGGTTATATTTAATATACTTCGAAATATGTGAATAGGTTTTAATGACTGCACTATGTTATATAACAAAGTAATTAAAATTCATGAGTTCGTGAAATAATATACCCTATATTATTTCACGAACTCATGAATTTTAAAATGTTTCGTTATATTCAATCGATTAAAAATTATCACAGACCATTTTTAGTTCATAGTTTTATTGCTAGACTGATTATAAACTTTTTTTTTATTATAGGAATCAATTTGTACTTACTTGGGCAATCTTCAATTTTGATGCATTTTCCCCCAATTTCAGACAGTATATAACCCTCTATACATTTACATCCATCCTTATTAGTCTTTGCTGGTTCATACGGACAATCAGGCGGATTTGGCGAGGCACAAGTACGGATGCACTTGTCAGAAACAGAACAAGTTGGATGTTCTGGTTCAGCTAAAAGAAACAAAGAAAGATAGATAATACTACCGAAATACTCAACACCTCGTTTGAGTGGCCAAACAAAGTTCGGAAATATTAAGATGTAAATAATATCAGCCGTTCCAAAATGTCACACTGGCTACGCGCATGTTAACCTCACCAGTGTTGGAAAATTCTTAATATAACATGGCCAAATTACCCCAGATTACGATAAGCAAGTTCTCTGTCCATATTTTAAGATATGGATTAAAAGGGAATCTTAGTCATAGTGAAGCGTCCGAATTGTAATAAGATAAAAAACATAATATTTTTATACACAAAAATAAAACTCTTACATGAATCACATTTGTCAACAGACACACAAACTCCTTGAGAATTTCTTAAATAGTTAGGTACACAGTCACATCCGGGTTCACAAGGAATTTCACTTTGGCATCTTTGCAAAGCCAATCTGCCTTGACAGGTCTGCGTTGGGCAAATTTTTCGGCAGTCTCTTGCTATTTCGTTAATACCGCATATCGGTGATGTTGGATCTAAATAAACCATGATAAAATGTTAGAATCGTCTATGAAATAAAGCCTTGCCGAAGATTTTTTAAACATAAATCCGCTAACAAAAACTACATCCATCCTTAGTGTGCGTATTAAAATAAACACCCTACACAGATGAAGCTAAATTTATAGTAACATTTGTCCACTCTTACATTTGATGAAAATATTTATATTATATTAATAATAAATAAATAATAATATATTAAAAATTTTTGAGTAGCTTTTCTTTCTCTAAAGTAATTATGTTTAATTTCGTTTCAAAATCTATCGGTAGTGAACAAGTAAGTTCGTAAACTTCATACAAATTTTGTAATATAGCAATCGATATACTAACATGGACAATCATCGTTCGGGATGCATATACCACTACCGTTCCGGAGATAATTGGGGAGGCAATCACATCCCGGCTCACGAATATTCTTGTATTCATCACATTTATAATCGGTGTACGCTATTTCACAGTTCTGCGGTGGACAAATCGTTCTGGATTTAACCGCTACTTCATTAAGACCGCACTTTAAAGGTTTTGCTGGAACAAAAAGTAGTTACGAGTTCATTTATAATCACGAGTCGACTGTAGGACTGACTGTAATGAAGTCATTTGGCTTTATATGTTTTCTTACTTCTGACCTGGATCAGAGAGAGAGAGGCATTGTGTGTAGTGTTTTAAAGGTAAACGAACAAAATGCATTTAGGCATATGATTAAATAACAATAGTTAAGTCACGCGCACGTAGAGATATTATTACTATGTAGATAATAGTGACCATTTTCCTTACATATAACAATAAAAATAAACCTCTAGATAAGAATGATAAAACACTTCGGGCAAAAACAAATTCTATTGTTTCGTATAATATTTCTGACTCCAAAGAAACTAACTGTTGTTACACTGCTGCAAATACACAAATGAAACCAAAAACCTGAAAACTAAAGTCTGTCACACTTCTGCGTTCTTAACTGTCAAGGCAAACATCGCCTACTTGCCGTATCTAGCTCTACAACTAGTCAAAATTTTGCAATATTAGATATTTAGGATAAATTACACTTGTTTTCATAAAAGGGAGAAAAACGAAACAGAAAATTAAAGCTGTATTTCTTTGATGAATGCTTTAGACTTATCATTTAGTTTTCTATTAATTTTATGTAGTATTGACATTATAAATGACATAAAAATACATATTTTTAACTGTATTTTTATTTGTGTTGTTAGACAAATTTAATGTAGTCTGAAAATTTTATTGTGTATTACGCCTATGTCCATTTTGGAATATTGTAGTCCTGTCTGGTCATAGCAATATACGGTTCATATTTCAAGAATAGAGAGTTTACAGACGAAGTTCATAAGATTCCTTAACTTCGAATGTAAGAAGCGCCATGGTTCCTACTCCTTTGACAGTAAACACCTGCTTTCCCTTAATGATAGGCGTATGATGCTAGATATGTTGCTACTTGTTGATAATATTCGTGGTGGGCTTGACTGCTGTGAGCTACTTCCAGCTGCCGAATTCAGTACGCCGAAAACACGGACTAGACACACGCATTTTTTTAACGTACCTTTCCATCGCACATATTATGGTAAAAATGCTGTTATGACACGGCTAGTTCGCACATACACTGAGAGATTCGAAAGTATAGACATATTTATATTGTCAAAGAAATTCGATCTCGGCGAAATCGTGAAGATACTCACCGGTAATTAAGTATTTGGTTTAGAATTAATTTTTGTTTAAGTTTAGTATTGTCTGTTATGTTTTTTTACTTTTTTTTCGTGAAGATTTTTTCTTTTAGCTATTTCTACTTCTTAGTTAAAGTACCAACTAAATGTCATGAAACTCTGTTATTAGCTTAAGTATATTGCGTGTTGTAAGAATCATGTGTGTAATGTAAACAAACTGTAGAGTTTGACTGCACGGATGGCGTAGTGGTTTAAGCGGTCGCCACGCCGCTTCCTACTGCGCCGAGTGTTGTGGGTTCAAACCTTACATGGGACGACACTTTGTGTCATCTACAAATTGTTTTTCAGAGTCTGGGTGTTCTTTGTGTCCGTTTCATGTATCTTTGTAAAGACCCCCGCGACACAGGATATATTCCTAATGCGGAAGTTGTCTTTTTAAACAAAAAAGTCCTTATCATTAAATTGAAATGTATTTGACAAAAGATTAGCTCAGTGAATTTAAAAACTTTACTACGCTTTCTAAAATAAATAAATATAACAGATTGTCTTGTTCCCCTCCTAATTCCTCCTTGACTCTACTTCGATCCTCTTAAAACATTTAGGTAGATTTGGAGCATGTCACAGATTACATTTAAGTGACATATAAATGGAATGAGCTGATAATAAAAATTCCGTTATTCTATCTCTTTATAAACTGTATAAAAACTCAATTCTAATAGAAGATATTTGTGTAAGAAAAGATATTAGTACAATGAAGTATTTTATTTGTGTTATTTACAATTAAGGAGAAAAAAAAAGATCTTCACTCTTCGGGTTTGACCTATTTCTATACAGTGGTATCAAATAACGCCGACCTTCTTCGGGTAAGAAGAACAAACTACAACAAACTTTTGCATTTGTAACAAAACACAAACAAACAAATAAATAAATAAGTAAGTATAGACGTGCTATTGATATCTTAACCTATCATTTAAAATTCAAAATTGTAACTACGCGTTTGAAACTACAAACACAGATATTTTTTTTGTGCAAATCGTAGTAGTCCATACTAATATTATAATTAATGCGAAAGTGTGTCTGTCTGTCTGTCTGTTACCTCTTCACGCTCAAACTGCTGAACCGATTTAAATGAAATTTGGTATAGAGATATTTAGTACATAGAATAGTTTTTATCACCCTTTAAGGAAGATGAAAATGGGGGTGGAAATTTGTATGAGAAAACAATAACCGCTAAACCGATTTTAATGAAATCTGGCATAGAGAGACTTCGATTCTTTGGGAAAGATATAGATTTTTTACCACGATAATAAATATACACAATTATTATTTTATTATAATTTTTATATATTATACCATAGCAAATTTATACAGCTTCCTCGACTGACATAGCATTTGCCAATATTAACCAATCGGTTTGAGAAAAGTGATTACAAATTTTATCATGATCGGCCCAATTATATGTACATATACATATTTCGTTTGAGGATTGCTAAGGTATCCAATTCCAACAAGATTTATAGTAGGAATCTTCAGGCACTAAGGGATCAGGGCATATCCAGACTGACAAACTATTGTTACACAATAGAAGGTCTAATATACCTCCAGCACTGTTTTTACAATCATTAAATTCAAATTGCAGTCGTTAAATGTGTTAATTATGTTAGTAGCGAGCAAATTATTAGCATTAGAAGGCTGAATGCCTAGATCTGTTGGGATCCGTTTAATGTTGCTCATATTAAAATTACATATTATTAAAAATTCGACTTCTTTGACGTTGTCGAACTGAAGTCAATTATCAAGAAAAAATATCTAATTGAATACTAAACGTATTATCTTTGTTTTGATTACATAAGTATAATGTGCAGTTATGGAGCTTAATTGACTTTTTAATACGAGGATTACATAATGTTTATGTGACCCATATGTCTTCAGCTGAGGAATTCCAATCAATTCTGTGGGTATTTTTATATTCCCGACGAACTGCAATCGAAACACCGCCACCTACACTGCTGTGTTAAGTCGTCATCCCTGTCGCGGCGACATACTAAGTACCTTTAATCGAAAAGTTCACTATCGGCAATGCTACTTGATAACCACGTCTCAGTTAACGAAATGACATCCTACTTTCTCACACACAGATTACGCAAAAAAAAACAGCCGTCTTTGTTCGGAGTCCTTTGCAGTTCTGATAATAAAAATTTACCCTTTAACAAGCAATATTATCCGAAAAATTAACATCTAATAACACGCACTCACCACACTTAAGAAATATACGTTCCATACCATGTTATTATTAATCATACCATACATTATACGTATGCACAACAACAACGTTAACACTTTAATTAATATATATATATATGGATATTTCGCACACAAAATGTTACAAATAGATAGATGGTCACAATAAAAAAGTAAGGTCTTAAGTAACATAAAACAAGTTTTAGTTTTACTATAAATGAGAAAAAGCACTTTTAATAGTTTCGTATAAGTGGGTATCAAAATAAACACATTGTATAAAATGCCAAAGCACCGCGTACACAAGATAAGTTCATGACGCATAATAACAATCCAATGATTTGCTATACAAAGGCGCACCAGTGAGTTGACAATGGCTCTCAAAGTATTAGGATGTATATTGTAAACAAAGCAGTTTGTTCTAACAGATTCTTAACCATTTTGTCCAAATGTTGTTCGTTTTTTATAACAATAACCTTCGATTAGACATTTTTTCGAACAAATTTTTGCAATTTTTACCCACACAAATTCGAATTCCCTTTAATTCGCGGTTTTTTTTTGTCTTAGTAAGCAACATTTTGTTTTGTATCGTTAATGTAGATTCGACCTTTGTCACCTAGGTGACAACTGTCATAGATCTAGATCAATGACAGTTGAGCACAAGGTTTTATAAGACCGAAAGGCGGCAACAAAAGTTTTCCTTCGTATACCGATCAACAAAAGATACAATTATTGGTTTATTTTTTTGGTATAGCTAAGGAATTGAGGTTGACTTCATCTCAGATAGTTCAGTCTCTGAGATATGTTCTCTTAAACACTAAAATTTGTTAAATTGTAAACGTTCTATTTCTGTTTTCATTCAAAGTGATCGGGACAGCGAGCGTTTTAATCCATCCACGCTTTTAAGCTGCAGAGACTGATTTAGTGCATGAATTATCGATAGTAAGCAGGTTTTGACAGCTTTCACAGTATGTGAAGGTTTTTAAAGTATATGGTCATGCTATTATTTTATGGTATTGATAAAGTTGTCGGCATATCTATCGAGAGAGGATGCCCCATGGTTGAGATAGTAATGAAAAAAAAAATATAAAAAAGAAAGAAACCTTTCACGACGCAATAACAGAACACTTTTGACAATTTTGCAGCTTGATTTACCATCGATGCCAAAAATGGACCCAATTCAGCCTTGTGTCAGATGTAAGTCTGACGCTGGTTTTCAATTGGGCCCAAAATGACGTTATGCATCATAAGGTTAATAATATATAACAAGACAAATAACAGATAAGGAGATCATGCTAATATACACTACGATATACACAATAACATTAGATAACCAATAAAGTGTGCACACTCTTTTACTTTAATAGCGCTCAACAGCATGCGCCAAGCATCGCTATATAAAGCGCATATAAGGGATGTGTTCACATTGGCCATATCCAGTCTCTGCTGTGCGTCTATGAAATACTGCCGCAATCTATAATTACGAGTAAAAGTGTCAATCGTATTTGACGATCTTATAGGAGGCGGTAAATTGTTCCATATCTTTGAGAAGGCATGGTGGAAACTACTTTTAAAAGCGGCCATTTTATGCGGATGAAGAATATGAAGAGTTGCCGTGAGCACTGCCTCACAGTACAATCACGTCTATTGGACACCCGTTTCAATTTACAAAACAGGGAAAACTGGTTTAAAAATGCCAAATAAATATATATATACATATCCCGTACCGGCGTAGTTAGTACCAACGACTCAACCAGTTGTTTTTGCAAGCTTTCGGACAGAAATGGTCGAATCTTGTAGGAAATGCACAATCTATAAAAACAATTTCGTACCTCATACTTTTCGAACCTCAAATTACAATCAAGAAGCCGGCCAAGATTACGAGCTTTATTCACCCTCTCAATTGACTGTCCCATAAGGGTTAAATAAGCAATAAAGTATTGAGTATTGAGTTTTGTTAAAACTGGGAAGTGAGTTTAGATTACTTTTAGTGCTGAATATCATGTATTTTGTTTTATTTGGATTGAGAACTAATGAATTCACGATTCTGTTCAGATCATCATTTAAGTCAGGTACACCGACTGAACCTATGGTAAAACATCTTTTTTCTATAAATACTCAGATAGCTTTTTCTTCAATTTTCACAAATACGACAGTATACTTAAGTCTTTTACAGCGATAGCGACAGTAGCGATTTGCCAGATATCGTGTAAAATTATAACCAATGACATTATATTCAAACAAGAGGTAAATATGCTACCAACGCACAAAACGCGAGATTTCTAATTAGAACCACTGCGAGCGAGCGCACGTACTAATAAATTCGAGAAAATTCATAAAATGCCTTCCTGTGTATTTTGGAGAGTGCACAAATTACGACAAAACGGTAAATAAAGATAAAGGAATATCATACCACAGGTAATAAACATAAATAAACATGTACGTTTTGTTCTAAAATTCATTAATAAATGTACTCAAAGTTACAGAACAAATACTTTGTGCGTGCAGTATGAATATAACGTATTTTAATTACAATATAATTTAAAATAACCAAAGACACAAAGTAAACGTAAAGTCGGTCGAAAGTTTTATTAGTCACTGTGAAACAAAATGAGAAATCAACGCTAATCAATAACTTTCCTTCAGAATTAACGCTTTTTAAATGTAGATACATTATGTAAATATTCCTTTTTAACCAGTTATACTGAGAGGAGAAAAACAAAAAATTAAGTTTTGCCAAATATATTTTTTGTCGTATTATTAGTCACTTTTTATTCTTTATTTCCTGACCAAAACAAACTTTACGAATATATTTTTAATACACTATTATGTCTCATTTTAATTTAATTAACTACATTACTTACATAACTATGCATTTGTAAAACTAAAGCTAAGTGTGTAACCTAAGTAGATAAATAGTGAAATTAAAACATATTTTTAAAACCTTAAATACCTGTTATTTTCACATCATTTGAAATGCCACCACTAACAAAACAGAGTATTGAGAAACACACAAAGAATAACATTATAATACTCCGAACACGACGATACTGAACTTGAAACTGGTTTATAAACAAAATAATGAGGATAAAACTACTACACACCGTCTGACATGGTGACGATACGAGCAATCTGATGCTCGGGGTTTTTTTGTTCAAATTAAAAATATACAATTGTTAATACGCATACTGGGTTTTTATATAAATTGCTCTAGTTTTTCTATTGTAGAACTCGCAATGGTGAGTGCAATTACGAATAAATGGTATGTTTGCCTATAATAACACGAATATGAATATATTAATACGAATTAAATAAAAAACTTCATCATTCTCCTGCCTGTGTGTTTGAAGTAGGCACAATATAAGGAATTGAAAAGGGTTCGGGCAACCTTCCTTGGGTATATAATAGATCACAGGAGGCATAACAGAAAAAGATTAATTGGGATAAAGAATACAACAACTTTTGAATAGAGAAACGAGTTTGAAACTGCAGTAGCTTGAAGAGACCTGGGTTGTGTACGTATATGTTTAGTAAATTTAAAATAAAATATATTAATAAAAAGCCTTATTTTAAGCATGCATGACGCATACATATTTAATTTTGTAATTACGTGGGAGGACCGGCTCAACCGGAGTGGTGTTAAGCAATACTTTTATTGTTTTTTGAGTGAGGAGTGAGGTTACAGGACACAAACTACCCTTGATTCTAGGGGGAGGACTCAACGGACTGCAATACACTTGTAACTCTGGAGTTGTAGGTGTTCATGGGCGGTAGTACTCTGTCTAGCCTGCTCGTTTGCCCCTTCTTCTCTGTCGTGTCGGCAGAGCGGTCCAGGCCCGGATGTCAAAGCCCTTCTCACGATCTCTCGTCACCACGCCCTGTTGGCAGACTGTCAAATACAGTCAGACTCGCGACTTCAAATTGTGAATTTTTCCTGGTCGGTACAGCGCATAGGTGTCTCAGAACCTGGTAGCCTCCATCTTTCCTTACACTACCAGTCGCCTAATAGAGTCGCTGTTATGGCCAAATTACTGCAGTATTCGTGACTGTACTGTGGCTGACAGACGTTTTGTGATGCCGAGCTTCAGGAGTATGAACACGGGGAATTTGAGAGTCTACACGAGCCTGATTTTGTTGGCTTTGCTAAGGTTGCGATTCCCTCTGCGGAAACTTTTCTTAACTTCTCCATCGCAGATTTGATTATATGTCGTTTCATCAACGCAGCCGCCGTTATTTAAGGTTAAAACCCCAAGGTATAAGTAGGTCTGAACCACTTCTTACTTTACAATGTGTCACTTTGGGCGAGTTTATGTTAATGCGGACCATGCGGTGGCGGATTAACCCTAAGGCAAAGTAGGCACGTGCCTAAGGCGCGAGGTTACAAAGGGGCACGCACGTAAAAAAAAATTAAGAAAAAAAAAATATACGCCTGACATAAAAAGAACTGTGTCAGTAAGTATTTATTGAGAATAAAGAATCTTTAATCACAAGTATGTATTTACTTACACAATATAACAATTCTTTAATTGTATAGAGATGCTTAAGATTGCCATCAAGGATTTATATTACGTAATTGCCACTACTTCTTTGTTTATATTTTCTAATACCTACGAAGATTGAGACTAGTGTATGTACCATGCACCATTGGGATTTAGAGCCGGAAATGATTGGCCAAAGGCCGCTTGCCGAGCCACGATGACTCGTTGGCTGGTGGCTCCACGTACTGGCTTTGGCGCCGTGGATGCGGTCGCGCCGGTCATCGTCTAGTGGACAGGTTGGCAGCACGAAAACCTTTCCTTCCGTCCTACGTCAGTCGACGCAGGTATTTTCTGGGCACGTCTGCTTAGGGAGGTACCAACAGTCGATTGCTAGGAGTGAATTGAGTTGCGCCGGTCAGCACTGAAATGCAGTTTGAACTCGGCTCAGCACATACTGGTCAACGTAACATAGGATGCTCATTACACTCATCGGAGAGGATTGTTCGGTACTATCCATCGACATCCTATTTCTACGTAACGCCTACATGCTCCCTTTAGAGTAGCAATTCTTCTATTAGGCTCGCATTACTTGCAAACAAGGTGGTGTCATCATTCTCAAGACTGATTCGCATTACAAGCTAGATTTAAATGTTGAATAGTAAAGGTGTTATTACACATCCTTGTTAGACGCCCGCATTAGGATGGAAACTATCTGAAAGGAGGTCACAAGTCCGCACTGAAGCTTTTTCTCCTTCGTAGCCTTCGTAGAGCTCCTTGAGTAAGTAGGTGCATAATAAGCAAAATAGAGCATAATAAAAACTGATAAAGTTCTTATTAATTATTTACAAGTTGATTATAAATTAATGCAAGCCATTTTCCAAGTAGCAACACCATTTTCCAAGAAATAGCCTATTTCCTTAAAGTTATTGTTCCGAACTTTTGCTTCATAGCTTTAGTTGGCTCTTGATTACTAAAACAGTGTATTATTCATTTGAAGTAAACTTTGAAGTGTGTTTTAAGGGGGTTATTCCAGACCTTGTGGCCTTCTTAACGACAGTCACGTATCCATCCATTGGTGTGTATCATGATTGTTAAAGTTAAATCTATTACAAAAAATGTACTAAGTGTACGGTAATTTTTAAAAGACGTTAAGACATTTCTTTCATAATTTACATAACCACATCTTTGTTTCATTCGTAAACTAATTAAAAGTAGTTTTCGTTATTTTTTAACCAATAGGGAATATGCACGTGACACCAAAATGGAAAAAATATTTTTATTTGTAATTTTTATTGCTAAAAAAAGATACAATTATTTTTGAAATTTATTATAATTTAATAGTGAAATTTAATCATCAAAAATTGGCTTTTTTAAGATTCCCTCGCAAATTTCTAAAACGGAACGCTATTGGTTGAATAAAACGTGACGTCAACCTACACTGTCAAGAGTAATTAATATTATTTAACGGGAATTAACGCGATCTCTTATTTAGGGTATTACATACCTCTGGTTTGCCTGACGTTTCGACCAGGTTGCACCGGCCGTGGTCACAGGCTAAGTTTAAAAGTTAGTACTGTCAAGAGTGTCAACAAGTTGTGTGTATATGTAATATTTGGTTTCTGGTGATTATTTGTTTCATTTTAAGTTAATAACTAATACGTTTTCAGTGTTAAATTATTAAATTCCCGTGTAGAAAGACTCAACACAATGACTGAATCTGAATATACTTTGTCAGGTGCAGTTTTGATATTATTTTGGCACAAAGGAACGGCACAATATTTATAATACGTTTTTATTGGCTTTTCCATGGTAATAAGTTAATTTATATCACTCACTTTTTTAACTTTCACAAACTTTGTGAACTTCACTCCGTTGTTGACATCGAATTCGTCTGAAAGTGTAATCTGACGTCACAAAAAAGCGCGCCAAAATGGACGTGTTCAAATTGCCCCAAAATGATAGTGATATTAATAATTTTAGTTTTGCTTAACGGTTTATATCACAGATGTGTTATATTTATTTTTGGTAATGTAATAACTAGTAGAATCGTTTAAAAAAATAAAAAAAATACATGCATATTCCCTATTCAATATTTTTAAATATAACCTCAAATAGAGTTATCGTCATTCGTTCACGTTTCTATGTACGCATACTTTGAGCCATGAAATTTCTTTTACCTACCATATTGTGACACATTGTTATTGCAAATAACATTTGCATGAGGTCATTTGTTACTGATAAGAAATAAATGTACATATAGTTTAACAAAGTAGCTTTTCAAAGATTAATTTTGACTGCACAGATGGCGTAGTGGTTTAAGCGGTCGCCACGTCGCTTACTACTACGCTGTGTTGTGGGTCCGATATCCACATGAGTCGACACTTTGTGTGATCCACAAAGAAAAAAAAATCTTTAACTGTATTTACCGTAGTCTTTATTTACTACTGTATAGATCTAAGTACGACTGTTGGTAAGAACTTGGGATACATTTTTAATTGTGTTTACTGTTATTGTTATTTATTACAGCTTTTATAAAGGAAAACCATAACATTCTAAAGAATGACGTCAGCTTTGCAAACTAGACATCGGTCCTCCGACATCAGAACACACACACGTCTCCACATCTCCTATTGCACGCCCTTTAGTTCGCTTCTTAGTTTCTCGCATCTCATCTGCAGCGTCATTCCCGTTTCCCGTACATTTTAGTATCCCATTTTCGCAGTATAATATGCAACTTTGTCTGAATGTGGTATCTCTTTGTGAAGATTTGGTGTTTTGGGATCCTGACGCATGGGGCTACTATTAGTGGTTCGTATTCCACTCATTGATCCCATAATTTAAAGTGCGATCCCTCGCCGTTTTGCCATAGACTCAGGTGTGTGAGTCTAATGATCACCATGGCTGCCTCATGCTGTATGAACAAGTCCAGTAGGAGCACATCAAGAGCCACCTCTAGTGCGGTTGTTGGCGTTGTGTGCATACTAACAGTGACCGCAGAGCATGGGAGTCGCTGGAATTGCTGCAATCTATTTATGACGGTGATTAGCTCTGTTCCCTCCCACCAGACAACGGCACCGTACGTGATTATTGGTCGCACGACTGTTCTGCAGAGCCATAGTGTAATCTTTGGTGATAGTCCCCAGCTTTTGCCGAGTAGCCGTTTGCATTGGCAGAAGACAATGCAGGCTTTGTTTAGTTTCTTTCCGAGGTGCCTATTCCACAGGAGTTTTCTGTCTAGTATTACCTCCTCTGTATTTGACCTCTTTGGTAAGAGCCAGTTGGGTTTGAAAAGTGTGAGGAATCTAAGGTCCGTGAGTTGTGTGATTAGTTCATCCACAACAAAGTTCCACAAAAGGAGGGAGAGTACACCGCTCTGTTGGTACCCTCTAGCCACCAACCCCTCGTCACTTCGCTCATAGTAAATTGAATAGCTCTATATCTTAGCATGTTTTCGATCCACCCTAAGATTGTCTAATCAACGCCGCACCTAACTAGGCCCTATCTTAGGGAAAGGCCGAGGCTTCCCCCTGCCTACCAGTTTTTCACTA